AGTCACATCTAGACATTGTCAAAAAATTGTTATTTTTCATCCATTCTCCTAAAGACCCATTTGTCTTTCCCAAAAGTTTTAAGTGTCCTTTCTCCTACTCTCCTTTTTAAGAAGTCATTTGCTCCCCCAAATGTGTCTCTCTTTCCCTCTTCATCTCCTATTGGGATGGTACACATGCCCTTTTAGATCACATTTATTTGCAAACTCCTATGCATACATACATAATTAAATCCGATTTTTTTTTTTAGAACTCTTGTTAATCTGTTTTTTGTTAGTTTAATTTTCAGCCTCCTCCAGAGAATTTTAGGAGATGAGAAAAGCTTTTCTTCTCCAACAGTAGTTCTAAAACGTCTACTCTAGTAAACATGACCATTTTCTCACCTACTGCATCTAGACATTAACTTAAAATATATGTAAACATATACACACACACAAATCACTTGCTCCAATTAGAAAGAAAATTCTGTTCACCAACAATTGTAATGTAACACTTACAAGAAACAAATCTTACACCAAATTGTCCTCCATGAGACTATAAACACTTATCAAAGATATAACACAAAAATTTTATTATAATCAAATCAGCAAATAAATACATGAAAAGTAAATTTCATGGCAGCCTCTTGCATTAATTAGAAAAATAGAAAACGAAAGAAAAGGTGAGTACACAGGAAGGCAAGATATATTAGATCCATGTGCATAAACTACACAGTCCATAAAATGACATATAAACTTAGCTCAAAAGCTTCTTTATTTTTATTTACCAATACCCATTCTTAAAACAACACAGTAGATGATGCAGGCATCTAGAAGTATCTTGGCAAAAACAATTACCCTACTTTAAGATAAATCAATTTAAGGAGCAAAGACAAGGGCTTGGGGGTGATCCACAGTACATTATTTCAAATAAACATTTGCTCATTTTAATCAGGATTACCTTCATTATGCCTGTGATTACTAATTTTATGTGTCAGCAAGAAAACAGATGTTTTGTCAAACATTATTCTAGGTGTTCTATGAAAGTGTTTTAATTTTAAAGATAATATTAACATGTAAATCAATATACTTGGACTAAAGTAGATTCTGCATAATGTGGGTGGATCTCATTCAACCAGTTAAAAGCCTTAACAAAAAAAAGACTGAGCTCCTCACAGGCAGAGGGAATTTTCCGGTTAGACTAAAATTACCACTCTTCCCTGTGTCTCAAGCCTGCCAGCAACACTGCAGATTTTGAACAAGCTAGCCAACAGACACATGCACACTCACTGAATCTATTTTTCCGACAGACCCTGACTAATACAACTCCTAAGTATCAAATTCACCCCTCAGTAAATGATCTCACCACTAAGTGTAATTAAACCACCCTTTCCTTTTTGACATTGTTTTATGGTAAGTGACACTTCAACAAATGAATCCTATTAAAAGCAAATAGCTGGGCACAGTGATTTATGCCATTAATTCCAGCACTTTGGGAGGCTGAGGCAAGAGGATTGCCTGAGCCCATGGTTCAAGACCAGCCTGGGCAACACGGTAAGACCTTGTCTCTACAAAAAAATTAAAAAATTAGCTGGGCATGTTGGCTCATTCCTGTAATTCCAGCTACTTGAAGGGCTGAAGCAGAAGGATCACCTGAACCCAGCAGGTCGAGGCTGCAGCGGCCATGAGCAGCATGCCACTGCACTCCAGCCTGGATGACAGAGTGAGACTCTGACACAGAAAAAAAACCAAAAAACCCAAACCAAACAAATCTCCTTATTAATGCAGTTAGCAGGATTGATAAGCATGGCAAATCTTTTAAAATTGCAAAGCAAGGTAAGTTATGCAGGTAGTTGAGTTCCACAAACATCTTTTTGTGGGGCTTTCAAATCTGCATGCACCTGAAATACTGTAAAGCAAATCAACTTTCACTTATTGAATATGGTGTTGAGTTCCTCCATGAATTTACCATTTCACTTTTTATATCTTTTCAACTGAAGAATTTCCATTTGGCTTATACAATTTCTAATGCTTTGTTGAGATTCTCTGTTGATTTATTGCTGTCACACTTTAATTCTTTAAACATAGTTCATTTAGTTCCTATAATATATTTCTAATACCTGCTTTAAAATCCTTGTCTGCAACTTTAACCTCTGGAGACAATCAGATACAATTTCTATTGCCTGCCTTTTTCTCAGTATGCCACACTCTCCCGTTTCTTGGCGTATGTCATGATTTTATATTTAGAAATAGACATTTTATATTGTGTGGTATAATTATTCTGGATCCTATGAAATCCATCTTCTTCCACAATGTGCAGTTACTGATATCTCTGCTTAGTTTATTTGCTTTAATCTTTCTTTGTTTTTATTTATTTATTTTTTAAAGACAGGTTCTCACAATGTCACCCTGCCAAACTTGGAAAGGGTAAAGTGGAATGGGAGCATCTTGCAGGCATGAATACCACAAATCCCTACTGCTACTGTGCAAAGTTTAGCAGTTCCTCAAGTTGAAACACTTTTCAGATTGTTGTATGCCTTTGGTTGAATTCCAGAGTAGAGTACTGTAACCGTTGTTTTCCACTGTTTCACAGATGGTCTTAACTCTATCTAAGTTACAAACTCTCATTATTCTTAAGTGTATTTATTTCAGTTTCTCTTCTGTTATGATAGCTTTATAACCTACTCTGGAAGTCCTTATTACTCTACTGCAATACTTCTCCTTCCTTAAGATTCAACTTATGCTGCTCCTTCTTTGTGAGGTTTTCTCTCATCAATCCATGCATACCCAGCCTGTGCAAAATAGCAAGTTCTTGTCTCTATAAAAAATTGTTTTAAATAATTAGCTGGGCAGAGTGACACACAGCTGTAGTTTCAATTACTCAGGAGACAGAGACACAAGGACTGCTTGAGTCCAGGAGTTTGAGGTTGCAGTGAGCTATGATTGTGCCACTGCACTCCAAACTGGGTGACAGAGCTAGACCCACATAAATAAATAAAAAATCGATGCCCATTAATCTCTTTCTCTGAATTTCTAGCATGTATCATTATTTCATAATTATTTTGCCCATGTTGTTCTTTTTCCTTTCAACCACATCCATAAGTCTGTGGGGAAAGAAATCGAATCTTCATGATTTTGTATCTTTATCTCATACCTGGCAAAGTACTAAGTTCAGAGTAAATTCTCAAAGGCTCTATGTCTACTTCTATCCAAAAATTTATGGTTCAAGAAATTTCCTTTGCAGCCTATCATGTCAAATCATACCCGTAAGAAGCAATAATCAAGACTCTATAACCTAACCATGTTAGATCATTAACACATTCTTTCCTTCTCCAATGCCACATGATCTGCAGTGTACACCATGAGCTCAAAGCATGTGTCAATAGAGACTGCTAGTGGCCAGCCTAATATCCATTTTGATCATCTTCCTTGTTGACAAACCATAAGCACTTCCCAGTGTACCTTTCAGCTAGAAGTGTAATGTGAGGAGATGCTGATATAGTTTGGATGTTTGGCCCTCAAGTATCATGTTGAAATGTAATCCCTAAAGTTAGAGAGGGGGAATAATGAGAAGTGCTTGGGTCACAGAGGCAGATCACTCATGAATGGCTTCATGCCACTCTTATGGTAAGGAGTGAGTTCTCATCCTATTAGTTCAGACGAGAGTCGGTTGCTTAAAAAAGCCTGGCACCTCCTTCTCTCTCTGGAATTCTGCCCTCATCATGTGACACAGCTGCTACCCCTTCACCTTCCACCATGACTGTAAGCTTTCTGAGGCCTCACTAGAAGCAGATGTTGGCACTATGATCCCTGTAAAGTCTGCAGAACCATGAGCCAAAATAAACCTCTTTCTTTATAAATTACCAAGGTTCAGGCATTCCTTCATACCCTTGCAAAATGGACTAATATAGATGTATCAACAGAAAAAGTATTAGCCATCTTGAGAAAAAAAGGGGTCACATTATAAGGAAGTCAAAGCTAAAACAAACCTAGGTTACTAATGATGTCATATAAGCATTTCACTAGCCCTGAATTGCCTATCCATAGACTTCTAATTACATGATTTGTGTAGGCTATTGTAACTTTACTAGCACCTGAACATAATTCATAACTGAAATTATTTAATGAAAAGGTCACTATAAAACACAACCAATTTGGTATAAACCACTGAGAAGAGTGTTATTCCCATTTAACATACGGAGAAAGCAGAGAAAGCATCTGACTTAATGAGCGGGAGCAACTGATCATCTGAGCATATAGCCCACTCTTTGCCACAAATACAACCAGAATAGAATTAAAAGCATGCCTGCTTGAATTTGAATCCCAGCTCCACTGTGTAAAATTAATGCAACACCTTTAGAGCAGCGTCAGCACATGCTATAGCATTAACAAACAAATGCCATTTATAGTAAATAATAACTTTGTTAAACATTATATAAGTTATTATTGTTACCAACTAATAATAATTTCAAACCCATTGTGAAAAGGCCATAATAAAAGTGACTATACTAGAAATATGAACTAGAAGACATTTTTCTAGACTGGGAAACATAGCAAGACACCATCTCTACCAAAAAAATTTTTTTTGTTTTAATGAGCCAGGCATGGTGGCATTGACGGTAGTCCTAGCTATTCGGGAGACTGAGGCAGAAGGATCATTTGATCTCAGGAGTTCGAGGCTGTAGTGAGCTATGATCACACCACTGCAATCCAGCCTGGGCAACAGAGGATGATACTGTCTCTAACAATAATATTAATAAAAATAACAATATTTTTCTCTATGATAAGGCTAACTTCTAATCTATCACTAGCTTTCTTGCAGCTCTTGTTATCACCTGCATATGAAAAAATAGTGAGTAGAGAAACAATAAGTTTAGTGACAGAATCACAGAAAATCCCAAATGCTTTACTTCCTTTTTCTTCTCTCTTATGAGAGCTTAGTCTTATGGTTACAAAGATTTTATGACATCAACGTTCTCCCTCTGAATAATGCAAATCTGTAATAGGTAATTCAAAGAATTTTAAAAGTTTTCTTACCCAGAAGAGCCAATGCTCTTACAAACACCAAGGAGAGGTCTCTTTTCAGCAAAGTTATCACACTTTTCAGCACCTGATAGGGATCATAAAACAAATTGTAAACTTTGAGAAATACTCTTGTATACTTCTCATCATTTTCATGCTTTCAAAACATTTACAATTGAAAAGATAGAAAAATATTCACTATAAATTGATATAATTTATACACTTTACTGAACAAAAAATAGAAAAGCTAACCATTTAAATGGTTCAATAACCATTTAAAACACTAAATCACTATTTAAAAGAAAATTTTTTATACTGGCAACAATTCGATCTTATATCCCTTCTCCATGAGATCAGTATGGGAAAACCATCCATATTTTGCCAACTAATTACCTAAAACTAGTATGGTCTTAACATCAAAAACAAAGGTAGTTCAGGACAGAAAAATTATAAATTACAGACCATTTTCACTGATATACATAAATGCAAAAATCCTAAACAAAATATCAATAAACTAAACAGCAATATATTAGGAAAAAATAATATTTCATAAACAAGTTATATTTATCCAAGCAATAGTAATAGTTTGACATTATAAAAATCTGTTAATGTAATTCATCATGTTAGTAATTCAACAGATGCAGAAAAACACATTTAATCACATTCTATATCTAATCATTATAAGAACAAAAGAAAATAAAATACATTTTAACCTAATTATGATTATATACAAAAAGATTATAGAAAATATCATAGGTAATGGTCCAGTGTATTCCATTAAAATCAATAATAATACAAGGATACCTAGTATTGCTGCTTCCATTAACACCAATGCTAGTCAACATAACAATAAATGAATTCAACAATATTACAGGATATAAAATCAATATAATGGCCAGACTTGGTGGTTCAGCCTATAATCCCAGCACTTTGGGAGGCTGAGGTGAGTGGATAGCCTGAGTCTGTGGGTTCAAGACCAGTCTGGGCAACTTGGCAAGACCTCATCTCTACAATTAAAAAAAAAAAAATTATCCGGGCATGGCAGCGTGCTCCTATAGTTCCAGCTACTTGGAAGGCTGAGACAGAAAGATTGCTGGAGCCCAGCAGGTCAACACTGGGGTAGCTGTGAGTGTGCCACTGCACTCCAGCCTGGGCAACAGAGTGAGATTCCAACTTAAAAAGAAAAAATCAATATAACGCCAGTAACAAGTGAAAAAACAAACACACACACAAATGGCTCTGAATCGTATTAAAAGATGTTCAACCTCACACATGACAGAAATTCCTTAAAAATATATTGATAGGCTAGGCGCCAGGGCTCACGCCTATAATCCTAGCCCTTTGGGAGGCCAAGGTGAGAGGACTGCCTGAGCCCACGGGTTCAAGACCAGCTTGGGCAACTTGGTGAGACCTCATCTCTACAATAAATCAAAAATTACTCGGGTATGGTGATGCATGCCTGTAGTTCTAGCTGCTTGCAGGGCTGAGGCAGAAGGATTACCTGAGCCCAGCAGGTCGAGGCTGCAGTGACTGTGAGCATGACACCGCACTCCAGCCTAGACAAAAGAGTGCAACTCCAAAAATAGAGACCTCCAAAAATAGATAGATAGATAGATAGATAAGCTCAGGGCAAGACACTCAAAAAAATGCCAATTTGGCATATTATTTATTTTGAAAAATAGTAAATACAAGAAGAACATCTGACCTGCCCCTTGATTCCTGAAAGCAGCAAAGAAAACCCCCTAGTGAAAGGTGACCTTCCTAGACCAAGAGGAAGGAAACATTCTAATTCCCAGAGAAGTTAAGGATGAGAGAAATTTATACAAACTTTGGCAAACTAACCCCTATCTTTCCATAAATGCCTAGTATATAATTGTTCACTGTAGTCTATAATCACTTAGGCTTAACCACTACTTTGAGTTTTCATTTCCTTGTGGGGATATATATGTACATGTAAAATTTTATTAATAAAATTTGTAGACTGGGCTCAGTGACGAATTTATTCTGTAATCCCCAGCACTTTGAGAGGCTGAGGCAAGAGGATTGCCTGAGCCCGCGAGTTTGAGACCAGCCCGGGCAACTTGGAGAAACCTCATCTCTGCAATAAATCAAAAATTAGCCGGGCATGGTAGCAAATGCCTGTAGTACAAGCCACTTGGAAGGCTGAGGCGAAAGGATCGCCAGAGCCCAGCAGGTCGACAGTGGGGTGGCCATGAGCGTGCCACTGCGCTCCAGCCTGGGGAACAGAGTGAGACTCCAACTCAAAAAAAAAAATTTGTGTTCTTTTCTCCTGTTAATCTATTTTACAACCATTTAATCTTTAGGTTCACTCAGAGACCCTGAGAAGTTAGAGGAGAAATTTTCCTCTCCTACAATAGTATGATTATGTTTTTAAAATACCTTATCTTTTAGAAATAAGTAATGAAATCTTACTGATGTTTACCAAAGACCTCTTTAAAAAATACTTAAGTCTGACAAAACTCTCTCAGCATATTATTCAAAATTAAAATACAAACACCCTTTAATCCAATAAAACAACGGTAAGATTTTGTCCTACACATATATTCAGACATGAGATAAATAACTTGTATTTAAGACTATGCACTACAGCATTGTTCATAATAGCAAAAGACTAAAAATATTCATGTGTATTACGGAATATTTCCTACAGCTGCAAAAAGAGAGTGAACTGCAATATGAAAAGATGGAAAGAGATAGAAGATGTAAGGTGGAAAAAGGGAATATGTACAACAATAGGAAGACACAGATTAGTATCCTAATTGGGTCCAATGGAAGGCCCAAAACTTCACCTGTACCTAAAATACTTATGTACACAATCCTGAGTTATAACTCACAACTTTAAAATACAATTAAATTGGGGGAAAAAAAAGAATAATATCCTAACTAGAAGGCTGAGGCAGAAGGATCGACTGAGCCCAGCAAGGGGCAGATGCAGTGGGCATGATCATGCCATTGCACTTCAGCTGGGGTAACAGAGTGAGACCTCCAACTCAAAAAAAAAAAGAAAGAAAGAAAAGAAAATGGGTAAAAGACCTGAACAGTCACCCTCACCAAAGAAGATACACACATGGAAATAAGCATATGAAAAGAGGCTCAATTTATAATACTGAGTGATCTCTCACAAAAACAAAGATCTGAGTATCACATGTTCCCACTCATAAGTGGACCTTGAACAATTATCGTAATACTATAAGAAAAGAATTGACAGTAGTGGAAAATTATGGGGGGGAGGGAGGGGAAGGGAGGTTGGATTAACGGTAGTCAATATCTGTCTGGGGACAGGGGGCACACCTCATCAACAAGGGTACCTGCACAATGCATATTTGTATACCTAACCCTTAACTGTACCCCACAACTTTAAAATAAAAAATATGTTAAAAAAAAACAGAAAAGAGGCTCCAGATCATACATTATTATGGAATTGAAAATAAAACAATGAGATACCACTGCACAGTTATTAGAATGACCAAATTCCAGAACACTAACAACACCAAATGCTGAAGAGGATGCGAGTGACAGCTCTCACATACTGCCAATGGGAATGACAAATAGTACAACCATGTTGGAAGAGAATTTGGCAGTTTCTTACAAAACTAAACATACTCTTATCATGCAACACTGAAGTGACACCCCTCAGTATTTTGTCCACATAAAAACCTGCACATGTGTGTTTATGACAGCTTTATTTATGATTACAGAAACCTGGATGAAACCAAGATGATGTCCTTCTGCAGATGAATGCACAAATAAACTGTGGTACGTCCAAACAACAGAATGTTATTCAGTGGTAAAAGGGAATGAGCTATCAAATCATAAAAAGAAATGGAGGAAAATTAAATGCCTATTACTCAGTGAAAGAAGTCAACATAAAAATGCTACATACAGTCAGACACAGTGGTTCAGCCTATAATCCCAGCATTTTAGGAGGCCAGAGTGAGAGGACTGCCTAAGTCCAAAGGCTCGAGACCAGCCTGGGCAACTTGGCAAGACCTCGAATCTACAATAAATCACAAAAACTAGCCAGGCTTGGTGGCATGCATCTATAATTCCAATTATGTGGAAGGCTACGGCAGAAGGATTGCCTAAGCCCAGCAGATAGAGGCTGTGGTAGCCATGAGCGTGCCACTGTACTCCAGCCTGGGCAACAAGAGTGAGACTCCAACTCAAAAAAAAAAAAAAATGCTACATGCTATATGCTTCCAACTATGTGACATTTTGGGAAAGACAAAAATAATGAGAACAGTAAAAATTCCAGTAGTTGCCAAGCGGTAAGGGAAAGGAAGATAGGAACACAGAGAAATTTTAAGGAATTTTAAAGTTTTAAGTGAAACTATTCTGCATGATGCTAAAATGGTAGATATTTATCATTATTTATGAAAACTCATAGAATGTACACCAAGAGTAAATCCTAATGTAGGGCAAATCCCTTGGGTCCCCTCCCACTGTGGGAGATTTTCAGTTCTCTTAATAAATTCTGCTTTCTTACTTTAAAAAAAAATCCTAATGTAAACACTAGATTTGAGTGATAATGATGTGTCAATGAAGGATCATCGTTTGTAACAAATGTACCACTGTGGTGCAACAAGTGGAAAGTGGAAGAAGGCTGTGCCTGCAGTGGGGACAGGGGTTATAAAGGAACTCTGTATTTTCTGCTCAATTTTGCCAAGAACATAAAATTGCTCTAAAAAATAAAGTTTATGAATGAAAAATAAATGTAGTTGGGCACAGTGCTACTCCCAGCTACCCAGGAGGCTGAGATAGAAGAATCGTTTGAGCCCAGGAGTTAGAGGCAAACCTGGGGAACACAGAAAGGACCAGTCTCTACATAGCAAACTCTTGCACAACCATGTCCATTGTAGCATTATCACAATAACCAATAGGTGGAAACACAAAAGGCTACTGATAGATAAATGGGTAAAGAAAACATGGCACACACATACAGTAGAATATTACTCAGACTTAAAGAAGGAAATTCTGCCACATGCTATAACACAGATGATCCTTGAGAAAATTATGAGTAGTGAAATAAGACAATCACGAAAAGACAAATACTGCATGATTTCACTT